AAACACACCTCCTCACCACCACCTATAACTGGACAAACTTATTTTTAAAGTATGTAAGAATGAGTATTTTTTTAGCTAGATATTTTTTGTTAAAGCCACACTAACTACTGTATTTTTACCTTTTATATGTAAAGCTTGGCAATAGCTCTCAATGTATAATTTATTTGTTGGGTTTTTTATAAAAGGAAGTGCACCCTCTTGCTTCTGTTTCACAACACTGGTGATGTATGAACTGTCTTAGGCACTGCACTGAGAACTGTATTGAAACTGTACATGGGAACAAGTAGATTTGTCGTCCACTGAACCCAGTCTTCAAATGTTTATACTGTAGTTTTGTCTTAAATATACCACATCAGTGCAAAAGTCTTGCAGAGTCATCTTTAAGCACCGCTGCATTACACTGTTATGGCAGTAAAAGGTGGGTCACACGGGGCTGGGGACACAGGCTGTGCAGGGAGGGCCACTGGGCTGCTGCTGTAAACTTAATTTGTTGTCAGTTAAACCATAACTTAAGGTGGCACCTAAACTTGCAGGTAGATGCTAAAGAATGAAATGCCTTTTTTCCAACAGAGCTGAGATTGGCCAGGAGGAATGTCAGGTGTCCAGTGGTTTTGAAAACCAAAGTACCGAGGCGTGCGCCCAGAGAGGAAGCTTGAGTTGCTGAGTGTGGTTCCACAGCATGCAGGCCAGTTAACTGAGCAAACCTACTTTTATCTCCAACAAGAGACTGGTTTGTGTTTGAAGTACAGTAGTGCTAATGACTGTTTAAAGGAAACTTTTTATTTCCAACCCCTGACTTTGGTGAAATGCTTAAGAAGGTAGCAAAGGACAGCCAGACCATTTGATCATCTTCATTTCTCAACAATTAATAAAAGTATCAAAAGGAGGAGAAAAAAATTCCATCCAAATGACTAAGGTCATGGGAAGTAATTTCCCTCGTGGCATAATTGTTGTGTAGGTCAAACTGCAATCCCACTGATACGTCACTGAATGGTTCTTTAAATTCACTTAAAATAATGAAATGTTTAGGTTTTTTCTATTGGAAAAAACCTCTTTGAATATCTACATTTTAGAAGAAAATCCTTCTGCCATTCATGCATTTTAATGTTCAGAAACCAAATGTTAATTCAAGACAATGAGTTTGTTGAGGTGTTTAATGCTGATCGATTTGTTCTCGTAGATATGTAATTTATGATACAATAGCACATCTTGTGTCTCAGATGAGATTACCAAGAACGCTGCATCCTTTTGCTTTTATTCCATGGATTGAATTACTGTGGGCATATTAGATATGTGCAAGCTTCTCTGTTTTTCAGAGACATTCTAAAACAATCAAGCTTCAGTGGCAGCCCCTTCAGTCCATGCCCAACCAAAAATGGTGTGTTGTGTTTTGTTTCTAAATATTTGTCACTAGCTAGAGCAATTCCATTCATTATTTCATGCAGGCCACCACCGAGCTTTCAGATGGCAGCAGCTTGTAGTCACTTGCTTGGGCCTGGGATGAATTCTCATTAACTGCTACAGTTATGGAGAAATATCATCAGCACATGCATGAAGGTTCTCTTCCTCTCTGAAAAGGTAACTCTGGTGTGCAAACAGGAGTGAAGACACCTGAGGTGCTCTGAGAGCCTCGTTGGTGTAGCTGATGGCACTGGCTGAGTTTTGAAAGGGGAAATGACCCAGGAAATGTCATAGAGTATTATGAGCAAGGATTGTGTGCCTAGGCCCTGATACAGGTTTTTCGGAGAGAACCTGAGATATGGGTCATGCATGCTGAGAAGGAACTGAGATGTCAGGCACTCTTTTGGGCAGATGTGGGATACAGTCACTTTAAATCTCAAACCCCTTCCCTTCCAGCTTGAGGTCACCCTTGTTTTTTAA